ACTATGTCCGAAATGGACAGGCGAGTGAAGGACTAGAGATTTTCAGGAAAATGGTGATGGAAGGTGTGGATATAGACTCCGTGACAATGCTTAGTGTAGCTGAGGCCTGTGGTGAGCTGGGGTTATCGAGAATCGGGAGGTCGTCTCATGGTTTTGTAGTGAGAAGGAATATTGGGTGCAATCATGGAGCACTAAAGAGTTCTCTAGTTGCAATGTATGGAAAAATTGGCGACTTGTGCAGTGCTGAAAATTTATTCTATAATGGAGGCGTTTGTCAGTGTGTTGCTTCTTGGACTGCGTTGATTTCTAGCTATAATCAAAATGGATACCATTTAGAGGCATTAGGGACGTTTTTTGAGATGGTTGAGCATGAAGTGGAAATTAATAGTGTGACGCTGATGAATGTTGTGTGTTCTTGCGCTCGATTGGGATGGCTGAGAGAAGGGAAGTCTATTCACGGCTACGCTTTAAGGAGTAATATCAACCTCGACAGAGATTTCTTGAGGCCGTCATTGATCGATTTGTATGCTAACTGTGGTAAGTTAGGATACAGTCGTTGGGTGTTTGGTAATACTATAGACAAGCATGTTGTGTCGTGGAATATTCTCATATCAGGTTATGTCCGAGCTGGCCAGGCAGATGAGGCTTTATCCCTTTTTTCGGAAATGCTAATTCAAGGAATGTTGCCTGATTCCTTTGCCTCGGCTAGTGCTCTATCGGCCTGTGGTCTAATCGGGCTTTCTGTTATGGGAAGTCAAATACATTCCCTTATTACTAAGATAAACCTCTCCAATGAGTTTATTGATAATGCCTTGATTGACATGTACTCCAAATGTGGATTCATAAACTCGGCAGTCCGAGTTTTTCACGGAACCGAAAAAATTAGCGTCGTGACATGGAATTCTATGATGTGTGGGTTTACTCAAAACGGGTACTCGAAAGAAGCTCTTAACCTTTTCGACGAGATGTACACGAAAAATCTCGACATGGACGAGGTGACATTTTTGAGCGCGATTCAAGCCTGCTCGAATCTGGGTTTTATTGATAAGGGCAAATGGGTCCACCATAAAGTGATCACTTTTGGCGTGAAGAAAGATATGTATATCGATACATCTCTTGCTAATATGTACGCGCGTTGTGGGGACCTTAAAATGGCTCGTGCAGTGTTTGACAGAATGGCCGAGAGGAGCATTGTTTCATGGGGTTCCATGATAGGGAGTTACGCCATGCATGGCTATATTGATGAGTGTATCTCACTTTTTAATACAATGGTAGAATTAGGCGTAAAGCCAAATGAGATTACTTTCATGAATATTCTCTCTGCTTGCAGTCACGCGGGATATGTTGAGAAGGGCAAGTTTTACTTTAACTCGATGGCTAGGGATTTTGGTGTGACGCCTAATTCAGAGCATTATGCGTGTTTGGTTGATTTATTGAGTCGAGCTGGCGATCTTAGTGGCGCGTATGAGGTTATAAGCTCGATGCCTTTTTCGGCAGATGCTGGCGTTTGGGGTGCACTGGTGAATGGGTGCAGGATATATAACAGGATGGACTTTTTGGATGGGATTAGTAAGGATATTTTGAAAATTGGTGCAGATGATAATGGTTACTATACGCTCTTGTCTAATGTGTATGCGGAAGGTGGTAAATGGGGTGAGGTTAAGGAGGTGAAATCGAGAATGAGAAGTCGGCATCTGAAGAAGACACCTGGATATAGCATGATTGAGATCGAGTCGAATTTATAGTGACGAGAGATATTCATATTCTCGAATGGGGAAATTTATATCCAAGAAAATCCTGCTCGGTTTTACCAAGGTGGCACTTATACATTATTGTGTGTTCATATATAGAGTTGGTGTAGCTGTAGCAGTACCCTTGAAGGACTAATCATGATATTAGTTATTTGATACAACTTAACTCTGTAATATGCAAATATAATTCTGCAACCATCAGTTGTGCAGAATTTTAGATTTTAATTTGAGTAGCCTGAAGGTTAGTATGCTCAGACATTGAGATTACTGAGCTTAAAAGTATGTGAAATCTCTTGTTTAGTTCGAAGCCTTTAGTTTTCTCATGTCAAAAACCAGAGACAAAAACTATGCTGGAATCCTCGTTCGTCTAACGTCAATTTTTCCTTCAGCTATGACATCGACTTACAGAGTTTCAGGAAGCCGTAACAAATTCAATTCAGAAATATTTATGCACAGTATACAGTATCAGTGACTCCCCACAATTCTAAGGACAAATGTTCAAAACAGAAACATATATTTTCAATCTTCAAAAATAGCTGGGAAGTTTTCTACTTGAACTAAATCTTAAGGTCGAACCTCATACGACTAACCAGAAGTTGCTGCCCTCTGAAAATACACTTCATCACTACACAAACCAACTCTACTGCTCCCAATCTGCTTCTTCAGACCCTTTTTCCTCATCAAACCTCTCAACTCACTCGCCTGACTCCATCTCCCTTTAGAGGCACTATAATTAGACATAAGCATATAATGGCCAGGATCCTCAGGATGACGTTCGAGCATCTTTCTGACAACCCTATCCCCAAGATCGAACCTCGAGTGCAAGCTACATCCATGGAGAAAAGACCCAAGAACGGCACAATCAAGCTCAACCGGCATTTTCTCGATAAAGTCCAAGGCTTCCTCAAGATTCCCCGATCTTGCCAGACAATCCACCATGCATGAGTAGTGCCTTGCCTTGGGTACAAAGTTGTATTCTCTGCACATTTTACCGAAATACCCCCAGCCCTCTTTCATCATCCCAGCGTGGCTGTAGGCAGACAGAATCGTGGTGAAAATTATATCACTCGGCTCAACTTTCTCCTTCAGCATGGCGTTGAGAATTTCGAGGCACTCGTTAGAGTTCCCTTGTTTTCCGTACCCATCAATCATTGCACTCCAAGTGGCCCCATTTCTCTCAGACATTTCATCAAACACTTTCCGAGCCGAACACGCATCCCCACATTTCGCGTATAGATTCAGAATTGCTGTGCCTATGTGGACTCTATTGGAAGCCGAAAAGCCTTCACGGATGGAGTAAGCATGAAGAGAGCATCCCAAGCTGATGTCACCAAGTGAAGCACAAGCAGACAACACAGCCACCACAGTCACTGCATCTGGTCGGAAAGAGTTCAATCTCATGCGGCCAAACAATCTCAAAGCTTTGTGAGCTTGCCGGTTTTGGTAATATCCACTAATGATCGAATTCCAAGCAACAACGTCCTTATCCGACATGGACTCGAATAGATTAACAGCATCTTCTATTTTACGACACTTTGCGTACATGTCCACTAGAGCATTCGTGAAACTATTATCATCTTGTCCTAGTTTAATGCCCAGTCCATGAACCAACGAGCCCATGTAATAATTTCCAGACTGCGCACAAGCCGAAAGCACGCTGGATAAAGTTATTGCATTTGGACACACACTTTTCCAGTTCTTGTCGGTGAACAATAACAGAGCTTGTTCAGAAAAGCCATTTTGTGCATACCCCACAATCATTGTTGTCCAAGAAACAAGATCAACAATTCCAAACTCGTCAAAAAACAACCGGGCATCACAAACAGCGCCACATTTGATATACATGTCCAATACCGAAGCAAACAGGTGGGGATTCATCCGAACGCCATTTTTTATCACATTTCCATGCACCCACCTGCCCTGGTGTAAAGACTCCAGCTTTCCACAAGCTGAGACTATACTCCCCAAAGTATATTCATTACCTTCGACCATGCAATCCCTCATACGGTTGAACAATGCTAATGCCTCTCTAGCACAGTTATTCTTCACATAGCCCACGATCATCGAGGTCCAACAAACTACATTTCTGTCCCATATTTTTTCAAACACCTTACGTGCAGTGCTGATTTCTCCACACTTGGCGTACATGTCGACTAGTCCAGTCAGCACGAAGCTATCCGGGTTCCCCATATGAACAACATACCCATGCAATTTTCTCCCTTCCCTCAAATCCCGCAACCCGGTGCACGCCTTAAGCACAATCGAGATCACCATATTGTCGAGAACATAAAACTTACTCCTCATGAACCTGTAGAAGCTAATAACCTCCAGGTGTAGGTCGCTCATGAAGTACCGCCTCAACATTGCCTTGCACAGGTCCAAATCCGGGTTGGGAATTTGGTCGAACACCCGCCGGGCGTGACCCACGCGCCCGAACGCGCCGTACTGCCAGGCTAATTTGGTTTTCAGAAACGAGTCCCGGGCTTCTCCACTTACGATGAGGAGTGCGTGGACCGTCTGCAGACGTGAGAGGGTTCTGCATAGCTTCAAGAGACCGAAAATGGGGTTCTCCGAGATCAACTGGATCGAGTCGATTTCGGGATATGAGGAGGTCGCGAGGGATTTCGAAAATGGCGAGCGAGGGAATTTTGTGCGTGACAGTGAGGAAAAGTTCATGGTTTTGGGGTTTCATGTCTGCTTATGGGTGTATTTTGGGTTTGGGTGGTGCGAGGTTATCAACATCTTCCGCCATTTCTGGTTTTTCCTCCATTTATTCTCCAACAACATTAGTTTGCCTATGATGATGGACATGGTGAACTACACTGGGATTGGGCCTGGGCTCATATAGGGTCGAGTTAAATCGGCCCAAACTAAACTAGCCATGTCTGGGAAAATTTTATAACTGTCTTCCTTTAATACTGATGTTCCATAACAGAAACGACCTATGCACAAGAAAAATGCTACATTACCAACCTAGTGTACAACTAGGTTGAAAACACAAAAACATTCAAAAAAAATTCCCGATTCATTCTGAAACTTTTCCCAACTTATTCAGAAAAAGAAAACCAAAAAAAAAATTGAAATCAAAACGCAACAGACAGAAGAAAGTTTGACAGTTTCGTGATTACAAGATTGGATTCACAGAGTCACAAGTGATGGAAAATTTATTTGATATGTATGAAATAGAATTACATACAAAGAATTCAATAAAAAATTTAATTTCGTTTTTTACAAATTTATGCAGATAAGATGAGCAATGATCTTCTTTTTGTGCAATATAATGGACAATGGATGAATGAAGTCAATTATCAAGGATATGAAGTTTGTGGTATCTTTCATAAAGAGAATGAAAGTTTTGATGATTTATTAAAAGCTGTGGAAAAAGTGGTAGAAGATGTTCCATCTGATGCAAGATTGGTAATAAAGTATCAAATAAAGGAAGGGTACAAACCGATAAAGATAGGCAACGAGACGATCCTACGGTTTTGGTTTTACAAAGAGCTGAAAAAAAAAAGAAACAGATTACACGAAACTGCCGCTTTGTGTATCATTGGAGCCAAAGAAGTGCCTTTCCATTACCAGCATGCCTTGTACAGAACCAAATGAAGCACGTCAACTCATGGTACAACCAATTCCCATGATAGAGTATAATGTTTTTCAGAAAAGAAGAACTGCAAGTGAAGTGTTTGGGGAATGTTCAAAAAGATGTTCAAAAAATCTTGTTGAAATAGCAGATGAAAGCCTCCAGAATATTGAAAAGAAACAAAGAACTGAAGGATTTTTCCTAAAAATGCAAATTTTGATGGTGTGCTTGAAGTCTGGCAAACATTTTCAGACAAAGATGAACTGAAAAAATTCATTAGCTTGTATGCCATTAAACATCAATTCCAATTCATGGTGAGGAAGTCTTGTCAAAGACAATATTTCATCAGGTGTGTTGACACCAATTGTACATGGAGAATGAATGCTTCAAGAATTGGTTGTGCTCCAACTTTCAAAATTAAAGTGTCCAACGAACATATATGCAGCTTCGGAAAGAGGATGAATGATCAACGTCAGGCCACAACTGATATAGTGGGATACTTCATTAAGTAGAAATTTGAAAACGTGAAAGCAAACTGATATAGTGGGATACTTCATTAAGTAGAAATTTGAAAACTTGAAAGCAAATTATACCTCGGTCGACATTATGCAAGATATGAGGAATTTGTACGGGGTAAAACTTTCATACAAGAAAGCTTGGCGAGCACGATAAAATGCATTAGAAAAGGTTTATGGTCATCCATTTAAATCTTATGGTATGCTGCCAAGATATCTGAAAAAGCTACTTGAGGCTAATCCAAGATCAGTCATAAGGCTGAAGACAGACGAGGCGATGAGGTTTGAATATGTGTTCATATCAAAGGAGGCTTCTATAAAGGGATTAGAGCATTGTCGATTAATTATAATTGTGGACAGTACATTCCTGAAAGCAACATACGGAGAAACACTAATAACGGCAAGCACACAAGATGCAGCAGGGCACATTCTTCCAGTTGCATATGGAGTTGTTGATTCTGAAAATAACAATGCATATGAATGGTTCTTTACATTATTGAAGAGAACACTTTCAGAACGAAAAGAGCTTTGCATTGTAACTGATCGACACAAAAGCATCAGGAAGTCTGTTTCAAAGGTAATAAAGAGTATATGTATTATGATTAATTTAATTAATTTATATAATTTAATTGGGAAAGCAATTTAAAAACAACTTAGAATAAAACAGTAGAAAACAGAGAAGCAACAGAAAAATAAATATGATAAAAAAATGTATTGTTTTATTTAAAATATATTATTATTAATAAACTAACAGTTAATTTTATATTTTTTCAGGAATTTCCAGAGGCTGCACATTGTTGTTGTGCATATCACTTGTCTCGGAACATAATATCAAACTACAAAGAAAACCTTGAATCAGTAAAAGGAGCATTCTTTGGAGCAGCATATGCATACACATTGGATGATTTTAATCATCACATGGAAATTATGTATAAAGCAAACAGTGAAGCGGTGAAATATTTAACGGATATTGGATTTGAAAAATAGTCTCGAATCCATTGTAAGTCAAATAGATTTCTAGTGATGACTTCAAATGCTGCCGAGTCAATAAATTCTGCCATGAAGGCTGCACGAGATCTTCCAATAACAGTTGTTAGATAGCGTACGTGGAATGCAATAGGATTGGAATGTAAGAATCGGAAAGAAGCAGAATGCACTTTCACAAAGCTCGCGAAGTTGGGCAAAAAATGCTTGAAGAAAATTATAAAGAATCTATGAAGTTCACAGTAAGTACACTTTAAATATATTTATATTAATTTATTAATTTATTGTGTTTTAACGATAATATTTTAAATAAAATTGTAATTAAGTACAGGTACAACAAGCAAGTGATGACATATTCAAAGTGAAGCATGGATTCAAATTTTCATTGTGAATCTAAAAGAGAAATCCTGCACATTCAATCGGTTTCAAATGGACGAACTACCATGTTCACATGCAATGAGTGTGATTAACGAGAGACAAGAAGAGCCTGAGGATTATTGTTCTCATTTTTACTGCACAAGCAATTTATGGGCTACATATGATACATGTGTATTGCATTGATTTTGACTTACATAATGTCTCATACAGTAGTAAAGATGAGAAATCAATAATATCTCCAGAAGGAAAATCAGCTGCAGGAAGGAAAAGAAAGAAAAGGATCAAATCGGCATGGGAGCACGGGAGGAAAAAATGATTTTTTGATTTATAGAACTAGTATGTTTGTTTAAGTTGTAATATTAATGAGTAGTTTTTATGTATTATTAATGTTTTTATGAACCTAGTATGTTTTTATGAAACTAGTAGGTTTTTATGAACTAGTATGTTTTTATGAACTTAGTATGTTTTTAAGTTGTAATATTAAGATTTTTTGAAACTAGTATGTTTTTATGAACTAGTATGTTTTTTTTTTTTTCAGCATTTTTTATGAATTTTATTTCATTTTAATGAAAAAAATAATAATATCTAAAAACGAAATGAAGTCTGAATATTAGAATTACATGAAAAAGAAAAGAAAAAAAAATACAAAAATACACAAGGAACGAGAAGTTATTTAAGAAATAAAACAACAGACATTGAGTGTGGTATGTTTCAATTAATATGGCAAGAACACCAGATTTAAAAAATAACAAAAAAAAAAAAA